TATTGAGAGCTGTCTCCCCCCAGTCTTAACTGAAAATGGTATATGAAATACTGGTTGATCACTAGAAAAACTCACCATCAAATGAGTGGGGGATTTGATGAGAGATGAAAGCCATGATTCTATGAAAGAATCAAAGCAATTATCAGAAGAAATAGTTGTATTTACAAATATTTATTACTACTATTTATCTACTGTCTGAAGAGACCTTTCACTCTTTCATAGTTTTTGTTAAAGAAATAACTAAGCTAAAGCATTTGACCAGAAAAGAAAAAGAACTACTCCACAAAGGAGCTGTAAGATAGTACTTTAACTAACCATAGGTTTGTGTGCATGAATTTGAAAAAAATCACCAGAAGGTGCTCCTACCGGTTCATGAAACGTGTTTGGTAGAGTGATAATAGCCGTTACAGGATGACAGGTTTTAAACTAACTGAATACAAGGTAAAGTTAGTAAATAAAGGCAGTAATTAAATAGGACTCACATTGATAATGGATTAAAGTAATATTGAGAGCAATCCAAGCACACAAAATAACAATATATCTGAAAATACTGTTAAGTTCTAGATTTGTAACTAGAATAATATACCGATATCACCTTTATTAAAGACTGCTACTATGTTAGCATTTTGTGAGTAAAAGAAAATCTGTAAATATGCTAAGAAACAGAAAAAGTCTAAAGCCTATTTTCGAATCATTATAAACTCAACTTCATATGTGGCTTTCAAGAAAAGGAAACATTTCAACATTCTTTCTACAGGCAGGGTGTAAGGCTATGTAAATGCTGGGCTAAGAAGATACCACAGGACAACTTACCCCAAAATTCGCTTTTGGAGAAAGAGCTGAGCATAAAACATCTCTTATATTAGGGCTGCCTCACTGGTTCTCTCTTTCAACTTTGGTAATTTAGAATAATTTTATAACTTCAAGAAGACAATTTCTATTAATACAGGAACAAAATATTATGGCTTAGAAAGAGACGCCAATCAGGTAGGAAAACAGGACTTGGTCAGAAGAAATTGGTATTAAGCCCTATTAAAGCTGCTGGTTTGCTATGTGGCCTTTGGAAAGTTATTTTCTCCCAAAATAGTCTCCTGTATAGACAGGATGCAACAAACTCAGGACAGCGATTAGTTGCTTTTGTAACGTGTTTTGAGGTCCTCAAACAAAATTCTATCTAAATGCAAAATATTTCTATTCCCATAGACTAAAGACATATGATAGAACATAATCACAAAGAAGAAAGATCCAAGTCAGCAAAGCATTTCAGTATACATAGGACTCCAACTGTGTATTTGTATTTTTGTTGAATTAGGATCACAATCATCCACTGCAAATTAAACCCAGCATTCTCGCACAATTCTTTCTTGAAACTATACCTCAGTGCCTGTCAGCAGATTCAAATGATGGTATCACTTAGATTTTATATATGTATATGAGATCAACATAAACAACGTAGTTTGCTGAACTTACACTGGACAAGGAATGCAAGAGCCTCACCTAAAATGAGGAGCCTCAAAATTTCAGTTCAAACCGCTTATTCAATCCAATGGCACTTATAAGAGCCTGTTTTCAGCACCGAAACTTTGCAAATGACCAAAGGTTTTCTTTCAATAAAAAGCACCTTTTCTTGTAATGAATGACTCAGCTGCACTGGTCTGTTTAGGGGTTATCCCATTCCTCCAAACGAGATTGTGTCTCTTGGTAACAGAATAGTTAAAACCAAACAAAAAACAAGTAAAAAAGAGCAGGCAACAGTGCCCATGACTCTCTAACCCAGGGGTTAAGACTCTTAGAAGGAACTGTGAGCTCCAAGCCCTGCATCAAGAACTGTTTCTCTGTATATTAATATATCTAAAATATATAGTTTCTGTATCGATTGTACTTCATCCACCTCCCTTCCAATGCACATCTGACACTTGCAAAATGCCCCCGTGAGGAGGAAGTGTGAGTAATCTAGTCACTGAGACTCTGGTCTGGCCTTATTGCTGCCAGCTGTGAAGTATAAGAGAGAATGACCTTAAAGCCCTTTTATGAAGAAAGAATACATCAACTACAACAATAAGAGAATAGTATCTCTGAATTTTGAATATGGGGGGTACATAGTAAAATCCTTAAGGCCAAGAGGCAAGGTATTTAAGACTATTTTTTGCCAAAGATTTCATTATTAGATGATTACTGTAAGCCTAAATGCATAGAACAAGACCAAATTCTCCTACTATTCCTTTTGTGAGTTTTTATTTTTTCTATGCCGTTTCTTTCTTTGTAATGATTAGGGACCATAGTAATAGAATAATTCAGTTGGAATTATTATATTGTTTATATTTAACTTGAGTTTCACTACAATCTTTTCTTCTGTTGAACAATCAGTTCCCTTAAAAGCAAAATATTTCCAGCAGTAATTACGATAAGGCACTGACTGCCTAGGTAGGCAGGAAAATAACATTGGTATTTTAAGTCTGCAGGCATATTTCAGATTAAAGGAAAAGAAAGAAAGAAAAAAAAGATGCACAGATGATAGTTTCATTACAGATTGCAATGTCACAATGAAAATTTCTTAATTTTGGTAACTTTCAAGAACTGCAGGCATCAAATATCACCATCATGCAATATTGAATATTTCCACCAGATGTCTCCAATATGTTGTTTTACACAGAAGGTTACATTTGAGTTACTACACTTCAAATTGAATGCAAGTTTAGCAAAATATTAAAGCAATAAAGAAACTAAATATTTATCTTTTTAGACACCAATACCTTAGGACTGTCCCTAAGTTATTGTCAGTTCCACAGTGTTACCTAAGGAAGCAGTAATTGTTTTGTTAAAACATGTTAAAAAAAAAAAGAAAAAAAAAAAAAAGAAAAGGAGTTCACGGCTTTTACTTTTAAGAGGCACATCAGACCATGTCTTGATACATACATTTTCAAAGCCATATAAGGTTGTAATTGGCATGAATGAGTTTTGGTTTCCTAAGAAATATTTTTTGTTTGTTTTTTTAATTCAGAAAGAGTTCACAGACCCAGACTAAAGTTGACTCTGTTTTCAGAACTCTCTCTGATGTAAGCATGCAGTAATCCAGTTATTTATTAATAGCCTTTGTGGATTACTCCCACTCACTACCTTGAAACGTTCACCAGATTCTGTCAGCCTGACTCAGTACATAAACAACACTCAATACATATAAATGCAGCGCCAGAAGACAATTTCAAGGACAAAAGAGAAAATTTGACACTGCTAATTCTCAGTCCCGCATAACAGAGTTATCCTTCAAAGTCATCTTTATAAGAGAACTCGCAGAGAATCCTTCTCATTTCTCTGTGCTTTGAAGTAGTACTTGGTGTATTCTGATAGACAAGACTGAGCACAAATTTTGCCCTATAATCACTTATATATGAGCAACTGTACATACACGCACACCTATATTTAACTCAAGCCCACTCATTTGTTCAAAGTAGGTCATACCTGAAAATGAAAGACTTAAAAGTCTGTAAAGGATCAAGGATAGAAGGCACATACTAATAACTAGGGAGCTGAGGATACTACCCTGGAAGCAAGGTGGGGTGGATTGTTTGCTCACAAAAACCACAAATTCATCCTTTCAGGGTTCTCGACCTATTTTACACAGGTTTATTAGACTTTGAGTTTTGCTGAAAGATAGGGGAATGTACCTCTATGAACAGCAAACAGGATGGGTTGGATAGAAGTCAGTTACAACCCATCATCTCAAAACTGGCTTTGAAAAGTGTCTTTTCAATACATCTATAATAGCAACAACAGTTCTATTTTCAGAATAATCAACCTATAGTCTCAGATGACTTCAAGATGATACAGGTGCTCCACAGCACAGGAAACATTTGATTTTGTGTATCAAAAATTTCACTGAAAGAACAAAAAGCATACTGATAACAAGCCACATACCGAGATCTTCAGCTAATGGCATCTCTGACTCTTATTTACATGAAAGATGTCTTTGAATAAGCTATGGTTTCCGTAATAGCAGAAACACGGAAATTTCAAGCGCTAATCTCTAAAGCCAATGCTAAAGTATAGCTGTTGTGTGGGCTGGTGACAAATATAGCTTCTTTAAAACAGGTAGAAAAAAAAGTTTCTTTCCTTACTTCTACTTAATTACCTTTGAAAAAAATAATATACTAGATACATAAAATAAAATATAAACATATATATATAAAAAACCTCAATCCACAGTATGGAAACAGATACCTTAAATTTGTACAAACCAACAACTCTTCCAGAATAACGTAATATGGATTTAAGCCTTCCTTTTCAAAAATAACTAATAAACAAATAAACATCAGTAAGTTCAATTGTTCTAGCAATATTTCCAGAAATACTTTAGTTTACTTTAGTTATCTATAATTATAAGAATCCGAAGCAGAAATAGCTGGATGTTAAGAAGTTCTGAGCTTATTATCCATGAACTCTGAACTGAGATGAAATCATAATGCAACACTGTCCAAACGGTAACATAACACGATATATAAACCTGCTATCATAAACAGTGCTACGATAAAGATGTAGTGTACCTACAAGCATTTACAAATATGCTTGGACTGCATCTGTCCAAAGAGTAAGAGACTACTTTTCCCCTCAATTATATAATTTGTCAGACACAGCGGTCTTTATAAATATTTATTATTAGGAAAACACCTAGGGTATTTTTTGCTTTCTTTACATTTATTTAGCATGCAGAATTAACTCACATTAAGTTCTTATGAATAGCCAGGCCACCATTAAAGGGGCATACGAGTCCTACATGCTTCAATACCTGGTAACAATGCACATAAACAGTGTCTTTATCAGACAGTCCCTCTATAGAGAAAAAAACAGTATATCCAAAGGACGACCTGTTAAATCAAAAGACCTTGTACAGGGCAGTGCACAAGAAAAATAATTTCTAGTACCTTTGTAAAGGTCATCTTCAGTTTTTATTGCAGTTTGCTTTCATTTGTGTGTCTTACTTAATTTGAAGAACTGTACAGTACCTGTCCAGTATATGCAAAGTCCAGGGCTTGTTTTAAACCAAGGCTTGTGACACCATGCAAATTCACCTCATCAGCTTCGCTTTCAACCATGCAGAGACTGAACATTGCCTACGGAAAGAAAAGAAATGTTATTAACCATTAAAAACAACAACCAGTGAAGGTCCAGGAAGAACAGGATTGATTTTTCCACCTTCTACTAACCTTTGGTTTTCCTTGGATAAGAATTCTAAGCAGCAACAGACTTGCAAGTTAGATGGAAATCTATACCAAGTTTTCAATAATAACACCACGGCAATCAATCTTGCAACTGAGTCCTTTTATCAATAAAGAAATACAAAAACTTATTCTGGAAAAACTAAAACAAATCCCTTTTGTCTATGTCTATATACTTCCTAATTAAGTAGTTCAGGTGCAATCAATGGCAACAGTCAGACAACAAGCTATCATTTAATAATAAAAGATAAAGAACTGGACTCTGAGGAAAAAAAGTTTACACAAGCACCACTAGAAACAATACTTACATATAGTGTCATTATATATAGGAAGGAACAATAAGCCGCTCACAGTTTCATGTATGAGAAGAAGGGGCAGTTAACACACCATCTTTTATAAACAATCCTTTCCAAATAAGCACCTCAGACTGGACTGCAGACAGTGTATTACTCAAGTCATTGAATGAGGAACAAGGATGGAGATGCAGTCACCTAAACTTACAACCTCCCCTTACTTGTTATTGCTCCAGTTTCTCAGATCATAAAACCTAAACTGAAGATTGGCAAGGTGCTATGGAACTTCCCTGAAAATAACATTGAGGAGAGCAACTTTCATCCAGTCTTACTTTCCAGGTCATCAGTCCCTCCCTGACTTGGACTTTGGATCTCTCTAGGAATCTTTTTCTTCCCACCTGTTAAACTTGGACTCCTGTCTTCACCGCTCACTCTTCCCTCCCAGACTGCAAGCCTGCCACAGTATCCCTACTCCTTCCCTCCTATCAGTCCCATTCTCCAGTCCAATACTTCTCCAGAAAAGCAACCTTTATCTTTGTCACCCTCCCACACATTTTTTAACAAAATATACCACTCACAGTCTTTAGACAGTAAACTGTGAACAAATAAACTGAACAGTTCTACCATCTGTCATTGCTAAAGAGAGTCTACACTTACCCCAGTAGGCTTTGTGCCAAGTATGTGTTAATGTGCATTAATGCCTCTACAGAGGCTACCAAACTTCACCTTGGAGAACTCCAGTAAAGGAGCACTTCTTACAAATATACCTTCTGCTACTTCTGTCTCCGCTCTGGCTGATACCTGCAGGAGCTGAGGCAGTCGAACAAGACCACTGATTTTCATATGTGCAAGCTGTCCACCAAGCACTGCTAAGTTTAAAGGAAAAAAATAAGCCCTACCCCTTTTAACAGTTTGGCACACAGCATTTGCCTAGGCACAGGTGGCTTCTTTCAAGAACTAAGTAATTTCTTCTGAAAGTGTTAGCATTTTCATCATTGAAACACCATAGTTTGACATAAATCTGTTGCCTGGAAATCATCCAGTATAAGCAAGAGTGGCATTTATCACATGGTCACTCCTTGTATTTTTGCAATTTCTATTTCAATAAAGTGGTATCAGGGCTTCTTCCAAACTGGCAACAGAAAAGAAGCATCACAAAGTTTAAAAGGTTTATCAAACAAATATAGTAAGACACAGACATGAAATGTACCTAGACAGAAAAAAAAAAAAAAATTCTGACAAGTTTAGATAATTTTCTAATTCCATTAAAAATGTAATTAGAGGTGGACATTCCATTGTCATTTAGATGTATCAAATGAGCTCCAATAGCTATTGTGAGGCTTCAGGGCTTGCCAGAAGCTGCAAGGTACCCATCAGCCACATGCTCCTTGCAAAAGCAGACCTGCAGTTTGTGTCTGGAAGAAACAAGCTTCTCTTTTCAGAAATTCATTACTAAATAACTTTTTGGATAATATTCCCTCCCCACATCAATTCCTGAATAAAGGGAGTAAAGTCTCAAAGCAACACCTGCCTACATAGCTCTTACAGGAGTAGATTTGCACACGTTCTGTAACAGAGTGCGTGCAAAAAGGCTGGAAATGCTCAGCGATAGAAGATCCTGCATGCTCTGCATTCTCTGACAGTGCTACTGCAACTATCTGTACACTACCTACCTGCACATAGAAATCATCAAAAACCAGTGTGGCTACTAATAATGTTGCTATTCTGATCAGAGGCTAGATGTCCCACACAATGGCTTAAGCTTGCAGATACCAAGAAACACTTAACTGAATCGCATTTGTAGACCATGAATCACTTCTATGAAGAATGGGAAGAGTTTTTCTTTGTAGACTTAGTAAATTTACCTTTAGGACACTATTCTACTGTATCACAGTGATTCCAGCATGGTCCTTACATAGGGTTTATTACTACACCTACCTTAGCAGCCACATCCTGCTGAGTTTACTAACTCAGTCACTGTCTGTAATCATCCCCAGCATTTATTGAACACAGCCTCCAGCACAGCTTTAACCCCCTGCCAACTAGCACTCTCCCAGGCAATGTCCAGACTATGGTTCAGAGGGTAACTCAAGCCATAGCTGTTCCAAGCACAGATAAAGCCAACCTGTTTGCAGAGGGGAGAAGGTTTAACCATACGGACACAAGCCATGCTGTGACCATTGCTTTTAGGGCCAGAAACAAGCCTTTATGCATCTTATTTACCAGTACAGGCATAGTCTAAATAGTCCAATAGTCCATCAGAACTGTAGCTGCCAGTAAGCCACAGGACTATGGCTTTCTGTGCCATCTGCTATATGGAGTTCATTTTCTCTCATACTACCCTCTGAGTATTCTGTGGAATTTTTTGATACCGAGTATGAATTACATTTGTTTTTCAGGGGGCAAGGCCAAAGAACGTAATCGAAAGATAAGGTCTGCAATGGTCCTCAGACAGTTCACATTCAGCTGAACTGAATTAGCCTCCAGGAAATCAGGATGGCCTCATATTTGTGTAGCAGACAGACACTTTATTAGCTGTAAAAAGAGGAGGAAGACAGGAATCAACCCTCGATTTTTCTTCTGATTTTGGCCTGAAACAGAAACAGAGCTAGAGAGCTATTCCCAAAGGGGGGGTGGGGAAAAAAAAAGTGAAGCACACAATCCTTGGATAAAAATAATCAAACCATAAAACAACCCTCAGACTTTTGAAAATTTGAGTTCAAAGTAATGTGGCAAGCTGATGGGCATTTAATACACTGCACACTTGCGTACAGTTTCACTACTTTGCCCTGAGCAGCCAAAAGCACCTTTCTAAAATGGTTTCTTCTGCAAACATAGAACACAAAAGACAACAAGAGCTCAAAAGTGAATGGCACACAACAGGGTGACTATGCTCAATGTCCGGATGGAGAACGGTGACGAGTGGTGTCCCTCAGGGGTCCGTACTGGGACCGGTGCTGTTTAATGTTTTCATCAATGACTTAGACAGCGAGATCGAGTGCACCCTCAGCAAGTTTGCGGAGGACACCAAGCTGAGTGGTGCGGTTGACACACCAGAAGGACAGGATGTCATCCAGAGAGACCTGGACAGGCTGGAGAGGTGGGCCTGTGTGAACCTCATGAGGTTCAACAAGGCCAAGTGCAAGGTCCTGCACCTGGGTCAGGGTAACCCCCAGTATCAGTACGGGCTGGGGGAAGAAAGGATCAAGAGCAGCCCTGCCGAAAGGGACCTGGGGGTGCTGGTGGATGAAAAGCTGGACATGAGCCGGCAATGTGCACTGGCAGCCCAGAAGGCCAACCGGACTCTGGGCTGCATCGGGAGAAGCGTGGCCAGCAGGTCGAGGGAGGTGATTCTGCCCCTCTACTCTGCTC